CCCACCGCGCCCAGGGATTGTGTCTGCAAAATCCTTTTGGGGGTGAAGGATGGGGAGGGGGGGGAAATAAAAAAAAAAAAAAAAAAAGAAAAACAGGGAAAAAGAAACACAGACAGAAAAACTCAGTAGGAAGTTCCACATCCTTGAGGCAGCATGAAGTAAGATAACTATCGGTCCCTCTTCCTTGGGCAGCAGAGAGCAAAGTCTGCTTTAACCTCCTTAAAGCTGCACATAAAGAAGACTCAGCCCCAGGGTCACACTGACTGTCCCAGCCCCCCAAAACATCCCGTTCACCCTCACTGTACTGGAACTGGAAATTAAAACCTTTCTCCACATTTAACATGAGCGTCTCCTACCTCCAGCGAAGCAGGCACAGCCCAACTCTCTGCATCTGCCTATACTTGCCATGGGCAATATTTATTAAACTTATCCTAATCACCTGTGCAGCACATGGGAAACTTGCTGGCTGCTTTTCACTAATTACAGATCGTCACAACACTCTACCTCAGCCAGCCAAGACCACAGAAGAGCTGAGGCTGGCAGAGACCTCTGGAGATCATAAAGTCCAACCCCCTGCTCGAGTAGGGTCAGCTACAGCAGGTTGTCCAGGACCACATCCTGTCAGGGCTTGAATATCTCCACGGATGGATATTTAACATCTTAGTATCTCCACAGACAGAGGGGAAGGCTGGTGGGCAACCTAATAACCATGCCTTCAACCTCCAAGGCATCTACCTGGCCTGTAATGGGTCTCTCAGTCATGAGAAACTAGCAAAATCCTGCAGAGGAAAACACCTGAGGCTGCATTGACCTTGCTAGGGGAAATTTATTTTTAAGTGATGTTTACAAGAACTGTGCAAAACCTGAAAAATACATAAGAGGTAAAGAAAGAGTAAAGGGGTAAAACAGGACTCCTGCAAGAGAGGGGAAAAAAAAATACACTCCTCCTTTACCCACTGCTGACCTTCCCCTCCCATGGAGCTGAGCCCACAGGCCAGAAAGGATTCTCCTGGCTTGCTCTGGTTTCCCCGAGCAAATCAGACAGCACAGGCGTGGGTTATGGTCAGTGACGGAAATGTCTCCAAAGTTGCACATTATTAGTAGTGTTTGCCTCACCCTTTAGTGTTTGACCCGCTGGGAAAGCCCTTTTCCTGAGGCCCCTAGGGGTACGCTCATCACCCCAGCAGTGCAAAGAGGGAAGGGGCCTGGGGGGCTGGAGGTGCGTCTGGGCAGGAGAGCCAGGTCCCTCAGGAAGCAGCTTCTAAATGCCAGGAGGGCAGGGAGGCTCTCCTTGCCATGCTCTCCAGTAGCGGCGCAGCACTTGCTGCTGTTCCCCATGGCTGCTGGCAGGGCTGGAGGCGGACAGGCACACTCGGAACCCTTGCAGAGTGTTGACAGCCAGCAACTGCAAAAGCAGCAATGCCAAAGTGCTTTTGGAGCTGTGCGGCCCCATGGCTTTTCCCTTTCTACACTCTGGAAAGAGGGACAGCAAGGGAAGGTTGGGACAGTCAATCAACGCTAACGATCCGAAACGGTCCTCTCAACTAAGCTCGGAGCAAGAAAAGTTGGGAGATCCCAGCACTGGAAACCTGCTACATCCTTGCTGAGCAGCACACCCCTGGAAAAGCAAGGGCTGGCTCTCCTTGGCTGTGGAGACCTCTCCAGGAGAGCTACCCAGCCCTGCCTTCCCACCCCGCCAGGCAGGGCAGGGGAGAGGCCGCACGCCAAGGGCCGGTGCCCGCAGCAGGCAGCTGAGCACTGGAACTGCAGGTACAGCCTGAGCTACAGTCCAGGGGATGCCAAGCAACTATAGGTATCGTTTCCCTCTCCCCACCACCCTCCTTTCCTCTCCACCCCTTCGAGCTTTTCCTGTCGTCCGTCGCCCCTGCGATACAGGTGGTGTATCAACCACAGGGGCCAGAGGAAAGTTTATCTGCCCACCCACCGTACCTCCCCTTTCCCCCAAACTCCCTGGAGAGTCCACAACCGAGAAGAGGGAAGGGGTAGCCGAGGCTCAGGAGCGTCACATGCAAGCTGAAAGCCGCCAAGGGGCAAGGAGGCTCACGGCAAGCAGGCGGCCACCTGGTAGGCACCCTCGGCCGTGTGCTGGACGCTGTGCTCCTGCAGCAGGCCCAAGTCCAGGAACCTCTCCCCGCACCACATGCACTTGTACTGCTGCTCCCGGGCGTGCACGCTGTGGTGCTTGTTGAGGTGCTCACGCTGCTTGAAGGCTTTCTCACAGGAGGGGCACTTGTAGGGCTTCTCACCCGTGTGCACGCGCCGGTGGCGTTGCAGGTCCGAGGCGTACTTGAACCGCTTTTCACAGTCGGGGCACTTGAGGGGCTTCTCACGGGCTGGGTCGCAGCGGTGCTGCACGAACTCAGAGGAGGAGAAGAAACGTCTCTCGCAGAGCGTGCACTTGAGGGGCTTCTCGGCGCAGTGGGCCAGCTGGTGCTTCTGCAGAGCCGAGGCTCGCTTGTAGGACTTGTTGCACACCGCGCACTTGAAGGGCCGCTCCGCGTTCTGCACGCACTTGTGCCGCAGCAGCTCCGAGGACTGGTTGAAGCCCTTCTGGCACACGTTGCACTTGAAGAGGTTTTCTATGCCATGCACGTGCTGGTGGTAGACCAAGTGCGAGGGCTGCACGAAGCCCTTCTCACACAGGTTGCACTTGAAGGGTTCCTCAGCCTTGTGCGTGCGGCGGTGGCGCATGAGCGCATACTGCTGCTTGAAGCTCATCTGGCAGAGGTCACACTTGAAGGGCCGCTCCTCGCTGTGTGTGCGCTCGTGCTGCCGCAGGTCCGAGGGGCGCTTGAAGGCCTTCTGGCACTCGCCACAGCGGAAGGGTCGCTCACCACTGGGCGTGCAGGGGTGCTGCAGCAGCTCGGACGACTCCTTGAAGTGCAGCTCACAGATGTTGCACTTGAAGAGGTGCTCCCCTGAGTGTGCGTACATGTGGCGCACCAGATGGGAGCGGTGCTTGAAGGTCTTCTCGCACACCGTGCACTTGTACGGCCGCTCCGAGCTGTGTGTCCGTTTGTGGTGCACCAGGTGGGATGACTGGCTGAAGCTCTTGTCACACAGCGTGCACTTGTATGGCTTCTCCCCTGTGTGGATGCGCTCGTGCCGGGACAGCTCCGAGAGGTGCTTGAAGGTTTTCTGACAGATGGAGCAGCTGTAGGGCTTCTCCGAGGGGTCAAGAGGCTGGGAATGCTCTGCCTCGGGAGGCTTATAGGTCTTCTCACAGATGGAGCACTTCATGGCGTTGCCATTATGGACATTGTGGTGCTGCGCCAGCGAGGTCAGGAGGGAGAAGCCCATTTTGCAGACACCGCACACAAAGGGCTTCTGCTCCACCTGGATGCACTGGTGTTCGAGGAGGTCAGTGGCCTGGTGGAAGACCTTCAGGCACTGGGTACACTGGAAAGAGCGGTCATGGCCTGGCAAGCACTGGTGTTCATGGGGGTTGGAGAGGTGAGCGAGGTCGTGGCCACACACACCGCATTTGTGGGACGGCTCTCCAGCCTGGACAGGGGCGTGCTGGTGGTGCTGCAGCCCAGGGTCCGGCTGGAGCAGGATGCCGTAGACGGTGCAGCCCAAGGGGTTGTCAGCAGTGCTGGGTGGGATGGAGTGCTCTGGAAGGGCAGCTGCCCCAGCGTGGTGCTGCTGTGGCGGCGGTGGCTGCTGCTGCGGTTGCTGCTGTGGCTGCTGCCAGCTTTCTGACATGCTTGGGGAAAAAACACGGGGTTTTAGTAGTGACAGCTTCAGCTTCTCGGTTGAAAGGGTTCGAGTAAAAACAAAAACTGAAAGTATTCAAGATCTCGATTCCTCCTAGCTGATCCCCTGAAGTCGAGGACAGAAAATCCAGCCCACAGCCAGAAGTTTGGGAAACAAAAGGGCAACTGAGACTCCACGACCTCCTCCTTAGATCAGCACAAGTTCTGTGTAGACTGATTTGGTTTGGCTTTTTCTTTTTTGGACAAAAGAACAGGAGGCAGAAGCAAGTGCCTTGAAGACAGAAGGAGTCCCTTCTCCGTGCGGGCTGCGATGTGCTCACATTTGGGAAGGGCGAGAGATGCAGCCCAGGGAGCAGCTCTCTCTGCAATAAAGAAGACTCATGTCAGGTCTTGGAGGAAAAACAAGGCAGCTCTCATCAGCTTCTCCCCACGGCTCACTTTGAAAGCTCTCCTGCATCCCTGCAAAGCAACTGGGAAGCCAGTGGGGGGAAGATAACCAGAACCAGAGTCCCCCTTCCTGCAAAGGGCGCAGGATAAGGCACGCTCTGCCCAGCACACGTTTGAGCGGAGCGCTCTCTCAAGAGGCAGTACAGCTGTCCAGGTCCCAGTCAGCCCAGCCCAGTACGCTGCCAGTTGCTGGATCTCCCAGCCCCACTGGGGACACTGGTTGAGAACACCAGTCCCTCTGCAGGGGCTGAGGTACACCAAATGCTGTTCAATTAAGAAGCTACTGGGTTAGATTTTACAGGTATCAAGGCAAATCCCCACCTGAGCCCATCCCAGCTGAAAAACCCCTGTGAAGCAGTTCTGCTCCTCCTGCAGATTGGATATTGGGTGCGTTTCCCAAGGGATGTATGTAAGAGATTTCCCCCTCTACAGGCAGCACTTGTAGACTAGGAATAGCCAGAGAGTTCAGGGGAAACTTTTCCCTCGATATTATCCCATCGACAGACAAAACACAGAACCCACAGGTATCGCACACAGCACTCTCTGTGAACACAAAAAAAAGTGTTAAAAGCAACGGTTCAGCTGAACCTCCTACCAAACCATGGAATAGAAGTACCCTGGAGCCAAACAACCTGCACCAGAGGTGCTCCCTGGCATTACCATAGAGCATCACAGGGGTTTTGCTCACTGAAAAGTTCCAGTCTTTCTAGATATGTCCAGTAAAACCTGATATCAACTTAGAGAAGCGTAAAAGCTGCCAGTGAGGAGCAGATAGCAGCAGTGCTGACACACCTTGAAAGAGAAGAGTCCAAGCCTTGGTGAGCAGCAGCCGGCGCTCCTGGGCCACCAGCCCCTAACCCTGCAAGAGCACATGTGTTTCCACGTCAACCCGCCTGTCCTCGCTCAGAGTAAGTAAAACTTTGGTCTTCCAGGTTTGTTGTATTTAAAACTAAGTGATAAGTAGCATCAGAGAAACATACTGCCCATCTCTGCCAGCACCCAACTGGACCATGCCTCCGAGTTTGGACAGTGCCAGACCACGCTTCTGCACAGGGGTACACTGCATTACTTTGTCCGCCAGCACAGTTTTGGGCAGAAAAATGTTCAGAGGCCCCACGGCACTCCTGCGGGTAGGCAGGATCTTTTTCTCCTACACAGCTCACCTTGACTGTTGACATGAAGAGAGAGGGCCGGCAGTTATGGTACCTAGCACCCGAGCTGGATGGGACACACCACCTCAGCCCAGCCCAGCCCAGCCGCCACCTTCCCCGCAGGCAACACGAACCACAGCAGGAGTGACCCAACAGCAGCAGCATCCCCCATCATCCGGCCTAATGGGGAGGGGAAGCTTGGGAAGAGTAAGAGATACCAACCTTGGCTTACCGAGGGCTCTGCACTGGTACCCGAGCCGGCTCCGAGCCTAACTCATCCCTCCGTGGGAGGTGGGAAGCGACAACCATTCAAGGAGAGCAGCCGGGAAAGCCGAGGTACTTTCAAACCGGAGCAGCGGCCCGCGGCACGGCCCGCTCCGGCATGGCCGGCCCCGACTCCTGCCCGCCCGGGCTCCCGCTGGCCGGGCCTCCTGCAACCGGGCCCAGGACGCCTCAGGGAGCGGAGCGGCGGGGCCGCGGGGCGCGGGGGCGGCCGGGGAGCTGGGAGACCAGCCACCCCCGCCACAGCCCGCGGGG